AATAGTACAAAAGCTAAAAGGTACGGACTTATGCATACTAAACATGCACTCAAAATTTTATAAACTGCATTTGAACTTGTTGTATATGCGCATCTGAGCTTTGGAGCAGAAGATCTACCACTCAAAGTCTTGTTATCCCATGCGGGCTTTTATGTACAAGTTAGTATTGTGTAAGGAATACGAGAGTTTATTACTATATTTGCTCATATACATGATATCTACTTTGATAGGATTTTGGCACACACTTTTTGGTAGGATTTGAAAGGCATACTTTAGGGTACGAGTAACCTTAGATATTTGAAAACATTTAAAATGGAATATGAAATATGCGAGGAGGTGAGTGATTAGTTTTGAGAAATATTATATATGAGAAACTGCTCAATTTCAATTTTATTTGTGGGGTAATTACAAATTGGGACAAATCATGTTGATAACATCTAGGTGAGGAGTGAGGGGAGATTGGAAGGGGTGGAATTGGAATATGGCATATTGGATATGGAGCTAGTGGATCCAAACAAAGTGAAATGCAAGGTGACGTTTGTGAGTGAAGCCCGATCAAAAGCGTTGGTTCAGGTAGGATTAGGTGATTTTCACACGATCAGAGGTATCAAGCATGTCATTTTTTATTAAGTTTACCTGACCAAGGGCGATATAAAGGCCGGTGTTGGTTGATTTTTTAGAGTTGAGACCAAGGTTGTTAACTAACCGAGATATTTCATTTGTTAACCAAGGTTGCTTAATTTCCTTCCATGATTGTTCTAACCGAGATATTTTGCACATATTCTACCTTAACAGAATATTCATAATCGGTACTTGGTAGATGTAATACATTGTGTCATTATAGGTGGAACCACATTTTCTCATATAACAATTTTGTCTCTGTTGTGCTAGCTTATACCATCGAGTTGCAGCACACCTAGGCATGTGTATGGTCTGATCCGGTTTCGGTCCAAGCACGGCCACTCCATGCCACAGAAGAGAGAGACCCAAGTATGGCCCACTAGATGTCGGTTCCAGACTCGGTCTGATAGACCAGCCAGTCTAGTCTCGAGTCGGGTCTCACTCAATCATTCCAGATTGTCTAGCTGTTGTAGATCGAACCCAAAATTGTCCGACTCCCAGTCTCAAAAACTCGCAACCATGACTGGGTAATGAAGACCGAGGCGAGAGATAATCTTGGATTGAAATAAAAAAACTAGTTCCGAACTTGTCTCAAATAGTGTCGGGCCCAATTCTGACCCAGACGACGTCGATCTAGGTCCATCCCTTAGCACACCGTAATAGTAAAAAAATCCAAAATATGAGACAATGATAACATTTTACTAAAATATGGGTGAAATGTTATACCTTAATGCTTTATGACCATTACTTTGGTGTATAGACCATCTGTGAACGGTAGAGTGATTGTGGAGATTTTGAATGTGCAGTGATCATTTGTAGCACTTCAGTTACTGATGGTCGATAACAGTAATTGTGACGCAATGTTTTTTCATTATATTTTTGGTAATATTTCATAATAGAATAAGAGAAATCTACATTACCCTCCAGGTAGGTACCATAACTTTCCTACATGGAGCAATTAAAATTGAATAATATATCTCTACAATCTTATAAGAGTGAATGAGAGTAAGGGTTGTTTGGGTATATGAAATGTGTTGGTGGTACAGTACAGTTAGATCCAATTGTACATTTATTTTAAAGCATTGTACCCCTTAAATTATATTCTAACTTTTCTAATTTTCTTCCGTTAGTCTTCACCTCTTTAAACTTCCGTTAACTTTTCATTTCTCCTTTGTTGCTAACAACTCCAATTGGGTTCGAACAGAGCTAATTTTACCCAATTGAATTGTTTGCTTTAATTTCTTATTATTACCCTTTTTTCCCTTTTTCTTGTTATTCACCCTTCCCCCAATCAGCCCCTGGTTATAGATCCTCGGAATTATGGAATTTCGACCATCGGCAGAAATCAACTTAAATATGATCTGTCAGCTTGTAGAACAGAAGTCTTGACCTTCGAAGTCCTTGGCTTGTATCCGGAGTATTTAACTATATTTTTATCTACATTCATTTTATAAATTCCACCAAATTATATACTACATATGTCCCAAATTAATTTGCAAAATTGACTTTTTTTATCAATCAGCTTCATTTCATTCACTTAATTAGGATGCTAATTTTTAATTATATTCTAATTTGGAGTTAGCAACTTTGAAGATATTTTAATGTAGTTTCCGAATATGTAAATTTTGATTATTAAAAATTCAGTTAATTAGCAATAGAGAGGATTTAACTTTAACAGTGATTTGACCAAAAACTGTTGACTTTGTAAATCAATTTGGAACAGATGTTTACAACAATTCTCTTACAGTAAAAATTGTGAAATCAGACATGCTATTTGAAATAATGTAGGGATTCATATGTTTTGTATGTTTGTTAGTCAATTAGAATTATGTGGAGAAAAACTTTTTCTCATATCCCACTAAATAGTCTTATATGGTTACTGAGCAAGTCTGTTAGAATGCAAGCTTGAAAATTTAGGATTTAATTAATAAAGCGGCAAAACTAAGGCATAGATAACTTTCCCTCAGTTTTGTTATGAATTCACTGCTAAAATTAACATTTAACTGCACCAATTTAACTACACCTACTAGAATAGTAATATCACTAATGGTACTAATAATAATATTAAAAATAACAACAATAATAATTTTTTAAAATATTTGGTCTGATTTAAATGTTTTTGATCTAGTCTGAATATCATTACCACCTCCGTGTCACTAACACTGGGACATGATGATGCAGTACGGTTATTAAGAAAATGAGTTTATGTGATTGATGTTGAATTAATAAAGTAAGAATAAATAATAATGATTTAGAATCACAAAACTTTACCAAATTTGATACAGAGTATGATACAATCTTAATAAAATGGATCGAATAGGAAAGATGAGACAATCACTAACATTTTTTCAGTAAATTTGAGTGGGCCCATAGCTGACTTAGGCCCTCGTGCCTATGCCCCTGCTAGCATTACTTCTTCTTTTTTTTAAAATAGCTAGCATTACTTCTATGCACAAGTTTATAATTAAGAAACAAATTCATATATTAGCATTATAGATAACAATGAAAAATGTATACTTTATCAGTGTTTTCAATTTTATCTATGTTTCTTTTATAACGTTGTTTAGAGATATTATTTTCGATGGCGTAGTGTCGTCTGCCAAATTTATATTCACCGTCATCTCCGGTCGGGCGTTCATGTGTGATAATAAGAGGTTTGCATTGATATCTTCATCATTCGAGAATATGAATTTCATCTGCGATGATATTGTGACGAATCACCCCCTCCTGAACCACCGTTGTTCCAAGAAGTTGAGATCACATGGACTGATTTCTTTCCGGTGGTTGGTAAAGCGAAATAAATTCTACACTTGGCTCCTTACCGGTGGATGGACAAATCGAGATGTTTAATACGAAGTAGTTTGTTTGAGAATTATATATTGTGTCGTAGAAGGAGCCGTCGACCTGAATGTAGAGTCTATTTCTTTGCGGGATTAGCGATTCAGCTTTTTCAATTTCAATCGTCTGTTTATATGTCTCATCTCATTGTAGCTTTGAGTTATATGATTGTAGTTGTTATTGGGCATTTTCTCGATCGCGCAACGCGCGTCACGTAACTAGTATATTAATAAATGATGAGATAGTTACATGTGTTAATCAAATATGTTGCAGGTGCGGTACCCTCATTTATTTGTAAGGCACCAATGCACCATATCACTTACTTTGAGGGATCAAACATATATTACATAAAGAATGCAAGCACACTACAACAAATAAAATAAAAATGAAAATAAATAAATATGTAATGAATTATATGAGTATGCGAGAGAGATAAAAGTATATATTATTAATTTACATTGTTTGTGACTAGTTCAAAAAAAGTTCATGAGTATATACGTTATATGTGATATAGTTGATATAATTTTTTATTGTTTCATCAATACGAATTCTTTAAATTAAATAAAAATAAAAGTTAATTAATACTAATAACAAGTAAAAACATATTATCAGTATAGCTACATTATTACGTGCAATGAATGTGTAAATGAATTCACAAACTAAACTAAACATAACAAACATTATTTCTCTAGCACAAGAAAACCAAAAATTATAATTGATATTAGGATTAGTTAGGATTAATGCTTAACAATGGACAAATAAATTTTACTCCGTATATTTTAACTAGTTCGGTTTGTTCGGTTCAGTTCGGTTTTGAAGGGTAAAAACCAAAACCGAACCAAACAACTACGGTTCGGTTCGATTTTTTACATTCGGTTTCGGTTTGTTAGCGGTTCGGTTTTATTTGGCTACGGTTCGGTATGATTTGATTTGGTTTTCGGTTTTCGATTTTTCGGACCCAGCCCTACTCTTGCCCCAATCATGGGTGCGAGTTTTTGAGATTGTCAGTCGGACAATTCTGGGTTCGATCTACAACAACTAGACAATTTGAAAAAAATGAGTGAGACCTAACTCGAGACTAAACCGGTTAGTCTATCAGACCGGGTCTAGAACCGATATCTAGCAGGCCAGTCTCGGGTCTCTCTCTCGTGTGGCAAGGAGTGGCCAGTCTCAGACTGAAACCGAGATCAGACCATACACATGCCTAGGTGTGCAACAACTCGATGGTATAAGCTAGCACGACAGAGACAAAATTATTGCATGAGAAAATGTGATTTCACCTATAATGACATAATGTATTACATCTACCAACTACCAAGTACCAATTATGAATATTCTGTTAAGGTTGAAACACGTGTGAGTGGCATAAATATGATTATCTCTACTAATTAGAAACATACGATAGTATTAAATTGACTAAGATTAAGGTCAGACGACATTACTTTGGTTTAACGACAAAAAGGTTGGGTACGTAGTTGTCCAACACATAAATGTTACCCTAACTTTTACTTACAAAAAAACAAGGACTAGAAAAATACAAGTTGATGATCAAAGAGTAATTATAATAGCCAAGAAATTATGATAACACAGTTATGTAACTTTTATTCATTGATATAAAGGAATACATAAATACATTTATCCCACGCATATATCGTATGGCTTCATGGTAGAGAAACAATATTGTAGAAATATGCTCACTCCAAATATAAGGATGAGCAAGATGTGGCTCATCAATTTTCAAACATAGTAACCAATACAAAGTTACAAAGAGCTCATTCCCATGAAATTATGACCCGAATATTTCGTACAATATTCGGGTCATTTCTCAAACACATTAAATATCCCGATATTTGGCACATTCGGTAGGAACCGTGGGGTACCTTGCCTTATCATAACAATAATTGTAGATGGTATATTTTTGACGAACCCAACGGAGCAATCTGTACTGTTCACCGTCCAAATCTTGGAAAACCTTTTGGTCCCACCACCTCTTGCCACTCGTGTTGCACACGTGGACTTCTTGGGAGGAAGTTGCGTCGCATCCGTCCACGTGGAAGGATGTGTAGGATGCTTTGAATGGGGCCTTGGACCAATCGGTTTTCTCTAGCCCACCTCTCGTGGCCCAATCATCAGCATTCCACAAGCTTGAGTAGAGCTTCATGGGCTGGTTGAATGGGAACTTTAGGCCCAAATCCTTGGAATTCTTGAACACCCTAATGGGCACATTATCAACAAGAAACCTGCAAAGTAAGAGATGGTGAGGCGTGTACAACAGTCAACAGGCCCATGGGCCGTAACAAACCAATAATAAGATTTGTAACAGATCACTTCACAGGACAAATTAGTCATGTGCTATTTCCATCCTTGATTTTGCCATATATATTTTCTCTTTATTCAAATATACATATTAAAAACTTTGCTAAATATTCAATTGATCAATAAAAATAAATTTTGAATGTGATGATAAACATTCGTTACGCAAAGTTAAAGATTTAATTAAAGAAAATCTGATTGTAAAAATAATGTTGTGGAACTTTAAATACAGACTGGTGGATAAGTAATAGAATATATGGCAAAATCATTCTCTATTTAATTAAATATACGTTTTATAGTATTTAAAATAAAAACAAAGTTAAATTATTTGCGTGGAAATCTTTACAAATGTTTGATAAGTGAAATAAGTTGTAGATGACAATATGACATGACATGTGAGTGTGTTATAATGAGTAAATATAGTTTAAATAAATGGATAAAAGTATCCCAAAAATAGTGCTTTTATTGAATGATCCCAAAAATAGTTAATCAAAGGTAGGATGTGCCCAATTTTAAAATAAAAATGTACAACTCAATCATTAACATGTTCTATGGCTAAATGGTCAAATACTGTTGATTAATCTTTAAAAGTGCCATGCAAATATCTGATGATGTGATTCATTGTCCTTAATTTGGAAGACATCAGACGTTGCAACCCAAATTAACAAGTCAAATAATGTAGGGGTGGGGTGGGGCCGGGGGGGGACGCATCCTCTAGATTTGCATTAAGGCAATGAGAAAAAAAATGTTAAAAACTTCATTTATTTAATCATAATAAAAGAGGTTTGAAAATGGTAGAAAAACAATACAATTACGAATTAGTAACTTTTAGAGAGAAAATTACAAAGTTTTTTATCAATCGATTAAGGTAAAAAAAAGTTGACAAAATATAAAAAAACACACTGTTAAATCCATATACATGTGAAAACTTTGATAACAATGAAAATATGGTACATTTTCTATGAAAATATGGTACATTTTGGATCATAGTCATCATATGACATCAATTATGATGTTAAAAAGGATGGTACAAGATGACCAGGTCCATCCTCATCCAAGAATTGATAAATTAACATTATACACATAAAAACAATCTCTTTTGATATTTATATATATATATATATGTATGGGTGGCATATATTAAAAAATCAACTACTGCAAAAGGAATCTCAATGTCATCAAATGAATCAATCCATGTCCCTTATAATTTCATACATTACTTATAATTGCATACATTAGATCAGAGTACAGTAGTATACTAAAAAAAACTACAGTAGCAAAGAAAATGGTGAATTCATTAGTCTTTTTTAGGTGAACAAACCCATGGGTATGCCACCAACCCTAATAATAATGGGTCTGTGCTGTGGCCCCACTTCAAAAAGGTAGTTCTGATCAAACTATACCAATCACATTAAATCGCTTCAATGAGGGATATTCAAGGAAAAGTGGATGTATATTTGGATATAGGTATAACTTTTGGGGAAAGAATAGCACTGGATGTTCTATACCACCTTCATGTGGTGTGTGCTCCCTAATACGGTCCACTTTGCAAACGCTTAGGCAGAAGTATTAAAAAGGGTATTTTCAAAAATGACAAAATAAATGTTTTTGTGTAATTTAAGTAGAAATTTTCACTTAAGAATAAAAGTGACATTTTTTATCAATAAACTATTACCTAAAGTTGAATTTACTTTTATGATCATTGACGGAAGTTCCTGTGGAAGACAATTTTAACTATTAACTTTGTAGCTAAATAAAAGCATTTGTTTTCTTTTCGGGTCGTCCCTAAATAAAAGTCTCCTTTCCTTTCAAACAAACAAACCGGTGGAAAACAACACTAAACATCGTCCAAACAATGTCAAACAACCTCACTTTGTTAAAATGCGTGAAAAACGAACGAATACTTTTATATAGGAAGGGAGAAGTATTATTCATGTAATTATTTCTTAATTTTATTAAGAATAGATTTTAAATATAAAATATTTTTTATACTTCTCAATATACATTCAATAATTCTTGGCCGGCAATACCTAATTTCCTCAAGAACTTTTATTGACCCAAAATTTCACATTGAAGAATTCAAGATAAAAGATATTTGATGGAAATTTTAGAAAAGGCAAAATATTTTTTTTTACAATTTAATGCATTCAAGTATTCAACCATCTTTTTGGGCCAAAACCAGGAGAGATCCCACATTTTTGGGGTTGAAAGACTTCTTTTTTCTAAATATGGGAGTAATAATAATAGAAGGAAAGAGCAAAGCAAAAAAATAGGGAACTTACACAATCATATACATGTTCCAAAGAACAGCGTAGTCATGGAAGCCTGTGGTGGGGTCAAACCAAAGATTGACTCTTTGCTCTCGGTTACCCTGCCCGCCTGTGAATACATTGGTTTGCAGTGTTATGGGCTGCCCTGACCGGTTCCCCAAGAACTCAAAATCTATCTCATCATGCTCTGCACCGTTCGATGATAACTGCCAAAATACCACCTCATTAGCTTAATTAATTACTACATATATTTTAATTTGATTGTAATTTTCTGATTTTGTTTAAATTAGTTAGGATAATTGGACATACTTCTTAAAACTGGTCCTGCTTCTTCGGAGAGAAGAAGCACATATCGAAGTGTTTGGATAAATATGCAGAAGTAATTCTTGATGCTCCAAATTGCTCATAAAACAGTTTTTTATAAGTGGAGGGAGACCGTCTCCTGAAAAACTGATTCTTGTTTTGTTTATGTTTTTAAAAAAGAAGCAAAATCAATTTTAAACATCCCTAAGAAGAAGTATAAGTCTTCTCTGATTCTTGAGAGATTCAGTTCAATTAAATTAAAAACATCTTTAAACACATTAATCAATGCAATTAAAGATATGGTAAGCACAACATACATAGAAGGCAGTGACAACTCCAGCAGAGTCTCCTCCCACAAGCCTCATTCTCATGTTGAAATGCCCAAACAGATAGGAGTTCTTTGACTGAAACCCAGTCCCTGTTTTTTACAGTACATGACACCAAAAAAGAATTCAAGAACTTGTAAAAAAAAGTAATCTTTGAAGGAAATCTGGTTAAGTTTTAACCTTTCAGTCGTCAAACCATTGTACCATGTAAAAATAATTGCATTATTTCTAGTCTTCTATATTATAGTACGGAGTAGTATTTTAGCTTCTCTAGTTGTTCTGTTGGGAAAGAAAAAATACTGACAATAATTATTTGCAATTTAAGTGTATTAAAATAGTAAGTTTATAACCTCAAAGGGAGTGCTAAAAGGAATTCATATTCGTTGTCCCATTCTAATCAAGTTGATATTTTTACTTTTGACCTGTAACTTTCATTTTCTTGAATTGATTTATTGTCAAATAGGAGTATAACCCTTTTGACAAAACCAGCTGTTAGAAATCCGGCAAGTGATTGAAAAAGACAACAGTAACAAAAAGGTGTTGGCTTTCACCAAAAGTGAAAGAAAACACGAGAAAGATCTTGAACCAAAAGACCAAAAGTATAATAATTTCCAAAAATAATGTTTTTTTTTTATTTCATGAAAAGAAATTGTGCTCGGCAGTAAAAACAAGTTTTTCTTTGTTTTTTGCTTAAACAGAAACAAACAATGTCATTCCAAAATCATATCTTTTTGAAGTCTGATAAACACATTTAAAGAAAAATAAACATGTCCATAATCTTTACAAAAACCCATGATTTTTTGAAAATTTCCCCTTGAATCAATATATCCACAACAGAGTATACACACCCAAATGACATACCAGAGTTCCTATCAAGAATGAGATCAACAGTTTGGCCACCATTGAAGTACTTGATGTGGTCAGCAGCCCAAGTTGGGACATAGTTCTTAGAGAAAGGAACATCCACAGGTTTTCTGGGCACAGCACAGTGTACAGCTAGCAGGAGATGACTTATGAACACCAATCCCAGAAGCATTACTACTTTTCCTCCCATCTTTCTGCTAGAGCCACCTATCTTTAAGTGTGGTAAAAGGGGCAAAGAATTAAATAAGGAGGTGAGTAAGTGAGACTTGTTCTATGGGTCAATATGTATGTGTGTATATATATATAGTGGGGGGTCGATATTGGATAACGCTCTCTCCTCTAATCACAGCTGTATTTGTCACTTTTCTTTAATATACTTCCTCCTCATCTCATTGGTTTCCCATGTTTATGTGGTACAAACTACAAGGATGAATAAATAATCAACCATTCTTGATGTACACACTCTTGTACACATCTTATACACACCATGTTTGTGAAGCTTTTTTTTTGTCTGTGAATCCGGTTCACAGACAATATTTTGTTTGTGCAAAACATTGTCTGTGAATCGATGTTCACAGACAAAAAAAAAAGCTTTCACAGACATAGGTGTTTACAAAAATGTGTATAAGAGTGTGTACAAACATCATTTTTGATAAATAATACGGAGCAATAATAAAAAAGTGTAGCTTAGCGGGTAGGGAGGAAGTGACATAGCAGTTAGGTTCTGGAGTTCGAATCCCGTCAACTGCAATTAGAGTTTATTATGCTAAAAAATGCATAGGGCTTCTGCAAGTACGGGGGACAGAGCCCCGCTCTCTATCTGTCAGATTGGGATTATAATCCAACTTACATCCTCCCAACGTACCGTGAGGTGGGGTGTCATCCTTTTTTTAAAAAAGTGTAATTTAAAGTTGTACAGAAATGACTGCCACAAATTTGTTTTTTGTTTATTTTTATTTATTAAAAATCAATTCAAAACGGCGGAAAGGAAGCTCGTAAGATTTCTGTCCTTCCAAAATACACAAGGAAAGTATATTATGAACACTTGATAATAAAAAGGATTTTAATGGTGTATTTACAATAAAAGAAATATTTTTATATTTATAAGCTAAACAAATGATTAATGGAAGATAAAAGAATTAATATTACCAACATAATCATTATTTTTTAAGACCATAATTTTGATTTCTGAATTATCTTGATAATGATAATAATGACTTATTACTCATGAATAATTAGAAGATAGGTGATTCATTATATTTCAACCTCACAAAGTCAATTTTCATTTTAGAACAAATGACTTAAATTAAGTCAAATTAAATTAAATAAAAACAAAATTAAATTAAATTAAATTAAATCAAGGGCTCATTTAATAATTAGTGTTTCCAATTTATCAGTCAACTTTTCTATAAATACATAATTATTAAATTTGCACGCATATGAAGTATTTGTAGGTGTTGTTTATCAAGAGTCGATGAATTATGAGAGTTTTAGTTATTTTTCATATAATTTCGATTTTTATTATTAATGATATTTTAAATATGATTTTTTATAAGTCGTCAAATTCAATCGATACAGACGTTTCAACCATAATTTTAACAAATTCAAGGATATTAATATTACCAAAACACTCTAATTTACATGATTGAGCAAATAATGACTTTCAATAATTACTCTCCTTACACTTCTCATATAGTTAAATGTTTTGTGCTCCTTCCATACCTATTTAATTGGTATAATATTTTTTTGTATTTTAAGATGATATTGTCGATGCATTTTACATTCTTCAAAAAATGATATTTTAGCGCTCTATAAAGTAACATGTACTCCGTACTTTATCGCAAATTATACCGTGGGATCGACTCATTTTCCACATGGTGTGTCGATCCCACTTTAACCAAGTGTCTTTCGCTTTTCTTTCTTCTTGAAGTAACGTTTGTTCCTTTTTTTTGCTTTTCTTTCTTTATTTTTCTTGTTCTGTTCTTTTCTCTTTCTATCAAATTAAAATATTAAATATTTAATGGTAATCCTACTTTTTTTTATCTTCATCCTAAATTATAATTGAATCTATTTTTTTTATTCTTCATCAATACATAACAAAAGTTTATTAATCTAAATAAAATTAGTATATTGCATTTCATATTCATACACTATTTTTGTTTATGTAATATTTTTTATATGGACGCACTTTTTCTATAATATAGTTTTTTATCACTTTTATCTGTTTTAGAGGTTTTTAAGACATTGAGTTTGTCTATTTGGATTATTGAAGTTATCATTGATAATATATCACGAAGTTACATCTTTTTATGTGTGAGTTACATCTTAATGTACTCGAGTTACATCTTTTTCTGTGCGAGTTACATCTTAATGTACGTGAGTTACATCATATTGTATGCGAGTTACACCACAGAATAAACCCCTGCTATATCATATTTATAGCTCTAATATTAAAAATAAAACATATTCACTATTTAAAAAAGTAATTAAGTTATTAGGATAAAAAAATTATTGTTTACATTGAAATCAATGTTTATGATATTGATGGAGTATATGGGTCTGAGCCCCCGGACCCACATACTCAGAAGAACAGAAAGCACAAGACGCAGAGTGGCGCCCTCGTCGGCCAGGGGACCCCCGTCGGCCGAAAAGGTGCCAACTCAGGTTATGGTCTTGAGCCCAAGGAACCCGGGTGCCCTCGTCGGCCGCGCCCTCGTCGGCCGTGCCCTCGTCGGCCACGCCCTCGTCGGCCACGAAGACCTCACAGAACCGGATTTTATACTTACTCATTCGTACAGCCCATTAGTGGCTCTGTATTCGGCCCAGTAGCGGTCCAGTTGTAAATGGGCCTCCCAAGCCCAAGGCTTGAGAGCCCAGCCCGTATTTTCCCTATAAATACTCCCTTTGGGAGTAGTTATAGGGGTTACAAATTCATTCTATGTCAAGACCGGTCTTAGCCATTCCTTTATCGGATGGCGACCGTTGCATGGATTGTAGGAACGGCTCCTCATCGCCGTCGTCTTCACATCACGACCAGCCCCTCGGGCATGGTGTGATGCTCTATCTTAAGACCGGTCTTAGCCATTCCTTTACCGGATGGCGACCGTTGCATGGATTTCGGACCGGCCCCCCAGTCCCGTCGTCGGCCATGCCCTCATCGGCCAGAAAGAAGACCACCCAGAATATGATCCAGAAGTCAGGAGAAGCGGGTGACCTCGTCGGCCATGCCCTCATCGGCCAGAAAGAAGGCCACCCAGAATATGATCCAGAAGTCAGGAGAACCGGGTGACCTCGTCGGCCATGCCCTCATCGGCCATGCCCTCATCGGCACAAGGTCCATCAATTAAAATCAGCACAAGGGCATGACATTCTTCGTCCACAGAGCCAAGGGCGCGCAACGTCCTTTGGTCCAGGACCCTCATCATCCTCAAAATGAAGGACATTCATCGTCCTCAAAATGAAGGACATCCATCGTCCTCAAGATGAAGGACACACATCGTCCTCAAAACGAAGGACATTCATCGTCCTCAAAATAAAGGACATTCATCATCCTCAAAATGAAGGACATTCATCTTCCTCGAAACAAAGGACACCCATCGTCCTCAATCAAGAGATAACCACAATGGCCTCCTCGGCCCAAAGTACGAAATTCAACCATCAACGACCAGGAATAAGGAAGCACTGTCTTCATCGGCCACTCATGACAGAGGACGCTCATCGTCTCCACCAGGCAAAGGCTCTCGTCGTCCTTAAACAGAAAACACGCATCATCCACATGTCTAGGGCCCTCTTCGTCCACATCGAGGAGCACACAACGCCCAAACAAAAAAGGACATAAATCTACTCTCCTTCACTTCGTCAACGTCTCAGCTTAGAGAGTGGGGGACTCCTGATGGAGTATATGGGTCTAGGCCCCAAGACCCACATACTCAGAAGAACAGAAGGTACCACGATCACCGGGTGACCTCGTCGGCCATGCTCTCATCGGCCATGCCCTCATCGGCTAGGAAAAGGTCTACTCAGAATATGATCCAGAAGCCCGGAGAACCGGGTGCCCTCATCGGCCATGCTCTCATCGGCCATGCCCTCATCGGCCAGAAAGAAGGCCACCCAGAATATGATCCAGAAGCCCGGAGAACCGGGTGACCTCGTCGGCCATGCCCTCATCGGCCATGCCCTCATCGGCCAGGAAAAGGTCTACTCAGAATATGATCCAGAAGCCCGGAGAACCGGGTGCCCTCATCAGCCATGCTCTCATCGGCCATGCCCTCATCGGCCATGCCCTCGTCATCCATAGATAGCCTCTAGAACGGGATTTTATACTTATCATTTCTATACACTTTGTATCCGGCCCATTAGTGGCCCTATTGTAAATGGGCCTCCCAAGCCCAAGACTTGGGAGCTCAGCCCTAATTTTCTCTATAAATACTCCCCTTAGGAGTAGTTGTAAGGGTTCAGAATTCACTAATACAAAGCAAATATACTACTTCTCTCTCTATCTCTCACTTCTCTCTAGATATACTCTATCAACTTAATTCATACTTCATTAAGAGTACTATCTTAGAATTCTGAAACTTGATTTTTATTCAGTGCATTTTTTAACTTTTTTGCATTTATTTTACGCATATAAATATCAACCACTCAAATTTTGACTTTAATACTTCGTATTAAATGTGTCAATCAAATTTATCAAAATGTAAAAGGCTGAATTTCATGTGAATAAGTCCATAAAAATGATATTATTGAAATTTGTTCCAAATAATTGAATAAAGATAAATGACTTTAACGTTATCTTTATTACTTAAAATTAATTTCAGAATCTTCTAGACAACTAGATAAGTGAATATAGTAAAATTTGTGAAATTTAAGGGCTGATTTTCCCTTTTCCTTTTTATTGCTGTCAAAACATGAATCATTTCCCGCTTCCCCAATGAGCTACTCTGTACAGTATGCTAAATGGGGAAAGAAGTTAGAAAGGGGGCGGGTTTAAGGTCAAATAATAGAGCATAATCAAGTGGCTATGGGGAAATGTCGACGTGGTTGCCTCCAGGGGCGGAGCTAGGAGTGGCAGGCTAGGCTATGGCCTGCTCTAAATTTAAAAATGTTACGTAATATTTTTAGCGTAAAAAATAAGGATCATAAGGATCATACGGATTAATGACGTTATGATAGTGATCATGTTGTTTAGGTGAGATTAATCGTGCACTCTCAAGTGTCAAGAACCCATTTCAAATTTCCGCGAAATGTAAATCCAAATTCCAAATTAATTAATCAATATAAAAATTTGCATTACTTTTGTTATACAAGAACGAGTGACATACTGACATGCATACTAATAAAAGTGAATTTATATGGTTAATATTGAATTTATAAAGCGAGAATAATGTAAGAATTATTAG